GTTACGTTCTTCTTACGTAAAATAGTTGATATTAAGACTAGATATACTATCTATAACCAAGAGCTACTAGTAATAGTAGAGTCGTTTAAATAGTAGCGATATTATCTTAAAGGTACCATGTATAACGTTAAGTTACTAACTAATTACTATAACTTAAAGGGGTTTATAAGTACGATAGTTTTAAACTATTAATAGATCTAATAGGCTAAGTAGCTTACGAACTTTTACTTTATAATCTACTATTAATCTAGAAGTATAAATCTAGCTAATAGAATATTAAGAAGACCTAACTATAAAGAAGGCGCCTAGAATTATAGTAGCTATAGGGTCCTAGAGTAGCTATAGGCCTAACTCTTAAGGACGAGGTTAGATTTTAAGTTATTAGGCGATTAGCGAGATGCTAACGTCGATACTAGTAATCGAATCTCTAAGACCGAAGCTAGTAACTAAAGACGCGGTACCGAAGTCCCTAGTAGGCCGTTTATTAGCGCTATCGGGAAGGGCGATAATACCTAGTATAAATATCTAATTAACCTCGCCTAGTTAATCGTGGATCTATAGAAGATAGACCCGATAGTTTTAAAGTTACGTAAAATATAGTAAGATAGATTATTATAGACTAAAGTAGACTATAAGTGGACCTTTATGGATGGCTTACTTTACTATAATAGAAAGTACTATATACCAACGGGTAATACGCGATTTAACGTAGTTAGCCGATACTATAACGCTAACCTAGTAGAATACTTTAGGTATATACGTACCCTAAGCTTAATTTATTAGTACTATTTTTAGGAAGATATACCTAAGTACGTCGAAGAATAGATAGCTACTTATCCGATTTATTAAAGAATGAAGGCCCCTAGACATAAGCTATATAGAAATTTATAGCCTCTTTTAGCCCCCCTCTTTATATAGGAAGACGTTACTATAGACTTTATAGTTAACTTACCTCTAAGCGAGATACTTAGAATAAGTTATAAATCTATTCTTATTATCATAGATAGACTTATAAAGATATCTAGGTATATTCTAGTATAGAAGACGATTATATCTAAAGAACTAGCGTAGGTGTTCTAGAACAAGATTATTAAGGTCCATGGTATACTAAAAAGGATCGTTACGGACCGAGGAAGTATCTTCACGTCTAAATTCTAGACGTTATTCTATAAAATAGTAAGTATAAATAGGAACATATCTATAGTATTTCATCCTTAGACGGATAGCTAGATAGAGCGATAGAACTAGACGCTCGAGGCCTATCTATATGTATTCTATAATTTTAAGTAGAATAACTAGGCCTCCCTACTAAGTATAGTAGAGTTCGTATATAATAATAGTCGTTATAGTATAATAGATATTATACCTTTCTAGGCGAACCTCGGACGTAGTCTAAGGATAGGTTTTAAGCCTTAGACGGTCTAATTTAATCGAATAACAGACGTGAACGTCCACGCTTAGGAATTAGCGATTAAAATCTTCGAAACCGTACGTAACTATCACGCTATAATCTAATAAGTAAACGACTCGTATATAAAGTACTATAATAGATTAGCTAAGGATTAGACGTATGAGGAGGGCGATAAGGTTCTTCTTAACGTCCGTAATATACGAACGTCGCGAGTAAATAAGAAGCTCGATTATAAAATGGCTAGTCCCTTCCGAATTAAACGTCGTATCGGTATAAGAGTCTACGAGCTCGACTTAGAAAGTAATATAAGAATCTATAACGTGTTCTACGTCTTACTACTCGAAAGATTTCGATCTAACGTGTATGGCCGCATGAACGTGTAGTTATACTCTATTATACCCTAAGATAGACTAGACGTGTTTAAAGTAGACTATATTATTAAATATAGAATTAATAAAGACGGTATTTAGAAATATAGAATCCGTTAGAAGGACTATACTAAGGATAAGGACACCTAGGAACCAGCGGTATATATCTTAAGTTCTATAATGGCTGCGTATAAGTAAAAGATATAGAATAGCGTATTATTAATGTAAGTATAGTAACGTCGTGGTTATTATAAAAAGAAGAAGAATACTATAGAGAACGAAGTACTAAACTAGGAAATCTAGACGCGCACTAGGAAAACTCTATATAGTAGCCCTATAATTTAAGTGTTATATAGTTACTAGACGCGAAGAAAGCGTAAATAACCATTTTAGAAACGCGACGTGATATACTATAATAGAATAATATAGAAGAGTCTAGAATAGACTAATATAGACTATTATACACGAGAAAAATATAGGACTAAGAACCTAAAAAAAGGTACCCTACTATAGAATTAAACTCTTAATACGAAATATAAAAGGTTAGAGTACCCGAACCGATAACTACTAGGCTACTAGTTCGGGTACTCTAATAGAATTCATAGAGATAAACTAATTTATATACGGTGCCTACACTTAGGTGACTTAAGGAAAATTAGAATATAGAAACCGATAGTTATAAGCTAAGCGAGCGTATATATAATATTATTAAGTTAAGAATTAAATTACTAGAAACTAG